TGCATGTAAGAACTGGGGTACAGGCCAGAGGTGCATAGGGTGAGAGGATTCACCAGAGACAGAGTGGGGAGCAGAACAGGCAGATGTATGAAGTGTACATTGCTGAGGGGAACAGCAGGCAGGTCAGCTGTGCTATGTGGGTCACCTGGGGATCAAACTCATGATGCAGTGGCTGCAGATAACTTCACAGTGCTGCACTCTAATTTGTTGGGCCACTGGGTTGGTCCCTTTAATAATACTTACTCTTTTATTTATGAACTCAAGACTTTCCATTTCTTGTGTCGTCCATTTTAACAATGTCATATATTTTTTAATGTGTGGGTTCTGAACTCCTTTGTTTTGGAACCTTTGGAAACTTTGAAATAGATTTTTAGGAGCCACTTACTCATCTGATCTAAGCTCTTTAGATCAGAAAATAAATATTTCCTTTTTATAAGTAGATGCTAGAACTGTAGTAGGATTCAAATATTTAAATTCTTGATCTCATCAGATTTGTGTGGAAAGAGGTTGGTAGGACTGAGGGAGGGAGGAAATTGACAGATTACTGACACTTGATTAGTTTCTCCCTGTGAGTCCTCTAGTCTTAGGAGCCTACCTCTTAGTTACCTTGGAGGCAGCTGGTAACTTCATCTAAAGACTGGCACCGACCTCTAGAACATAGACCATGATTCATCATATTAAGACAATTTGCCCTAGTCTGTAATTTGCCCCAGATGAAGGGAATGGAGGGAAATAACTCTGGGAAGAGTTTCTCCAGACACAACCTGTTTGAGCTTAGTGGGAGGTGGGGTGTGTGGATTAGTGGTATAATTAGAGCTAGATTTGAATCCAAGTTCTGCTCAGTTCTGTCACCCGATCCCCATCTGTAAAACTGAACTAGTACTGATTTTAGTTGCCATTTACTGCATGCTTGACAAGAGTGTTCTATTAAAGAGAAATTTAAAGCACAAACAGATAGCAATATATAAAGCCTGTGTCTCAGTATAAGGTAACATCATGGCTCTCATTACTGCCAAGTGCTGATAAAAATAAATATTTTTAGTTTCCTGTTGTCTTTCTAAATCATGCTTATATACTAGACTGAGCTACCAGAAGCCATGGCTGTGTTTTGTTCTTCCTTCTGTGTATGTCCTGTATTCATAGATGTGTCACTAAACATGACTGACAGAAGGAAGCTCCCCAGGTACCCTGGGGGTTAAGTTGGGAGTGAGTTGGGTGTTTTTAGGTTACTTATTCTCATCACCAATACATAGCTGATTGTTCTCTGCTTTTTATTCAGGAGACCCCAGGCAACACCCGGAGGCTTACTGATTTCCCTGCCTCTTTTTTTCTCATAGGAAGCACCGGAGAGCACGAGACCGGTCTAGGTCATCATCCTCTTCCTCCCAGTCATCCCACTCCTACAAAGCAGAAGAATATACTGAAGAGACTGAGGAAAGAGAGGAGAGCACGACGGGCTTTGACAAATCAAGACTTGGGACCAAAGACTTTGTGGGTCCAAGTGAAAGAGGAGGCAGAACTCGGGGGACCTTCGTAAGACCCCACTCCATCATCTCTCTAAGCCTCTGCTTCCATAATCTTAACTGTGCATTTACCAGAATGCCTGTTTTGTTGACCTTGATACAGATAACCCAGTATAGATCATGTTCCATGACTCCCAATCCCCAGGCTTTCCAGTTTTAGTTGTTTCTGTGTTCATATGCATTTAGCTACAAAGCCTCAGAGTTTCTGTTACCAGTTTTTTTTAATGTATTTATTTATGCATACAGAGCTAGAGTACAGAGGTGTGTGTGGCGGTGAGAGGATACACCAACTGATAGAGTAGGGAGCAAAACAGGCAGGTAGACTGAAATACACTGCTGAGGGGAGCAGTGGGTGGATCAAGAGAGGTCTGCCACGCCATATGGGTCACCTCTGTGGCCGGGGAATGAACTTGTGCTGCAATGGCTGCTGATAGCTTCATAGTGCTGCGCTTTAACCCATTGTGCCACCAGGGAGGGCCCTCTGGTGTCAGGAACTTCTCCACTACTTTGATTATTACTCTGTTTTGGGAGAGCCTGTGCCATATCTACTGCATATACTGTAGACTTGAGTTGACATGGGCAGAAAGGAGATGGCTAGAAAGCAGTTTGCTAGCACATGACTGGAGGATAACTGTTCTGTGGCAGAAAAGTGAACAAAATGCAAGGGATTTTTTCCCCTCCATTCCTGAGATGATTCTTTGTTATTTTTTCCTCCATTTATTGCCACAGCAGTTTCGAGCCAGAGGGAGAGGCTGGGGCAGAGGCAGCTACTCTGGTAACAACAACAGCAGCAGCAACAATGACTTTCAGAAGAGAAACCGGGAGGAGGAATGGGATCCTGAGTATACACCTAAGAGCAAGAAGTATTACTTGGTATGTGTCTGGGGATAACCAGTGTTCAGTGAAGGTTTTATCACCACCAAGAAAGTTGTTATATTGCTCAAGCCTGTACCACCTAAGAATTTCTGAGGCACCCAACTAAATCTCTTAAATCTGTGTGAATAGAGGACCACGGGGAGGACAGAAAAGGAATAAAAGGATGGTTGTGGCATAATCTGCTGGGGAAAGACACATTTGGGTGGGTGAAGGGAAGAAGTTTCTAGTTATTCATGCTGGCATTGATGGCATTTTCTTCCCCCTCAGCATGATGACCGCGAAGGTGAAGGAAGTGAGAAGTGGGTGAGCCGGGGCCGGGGCCGAGGAGCCTTTCCCCGGGGTCGGGGCCGGTTCATGTTCCGGAAGTCCAGCACCAGTCCCAAGTGGGCCCATGACAAATTCAGTGGGGAAGAAGGGGAGATTGAAGACGACGAGAGTGGGACAGAGAACCGAGAAGAAAAGGACAATTTACAGCCCACAACTGAGTAGGGTCCATTCTAATGGGAGCCCCTACCCAGGAGGGAGAGGCGCTGGGAAGATGGCTGATGAGGAGCTACACAGGAGCCTCAAGAAAATTGTGAAAATCCTATCCCTACTCCCCAGCAGCCATGCAGAATTCTATCATGAAAGCAACATCCCTGGCACTGTGTCCCATTGGATAGGGGTGGCTGGCGGTGGTCAGACCCAGCTCTTGAGCAGAATACAACATATTGGGCTCTCGCTGTTTCTTGTTTGTTGTTGGTGTGTGGGGTGGGGGCTGGGTAGGGAGGGGAGAGCAATACTTGGGTTTTGGTTTGTTCCCTATTAGAAACCAACAGTTTTTGTTCTTAAATTTCATTTGGAGCTATAAGGACTAATTTGATGATTTTCAGTCTCTTCTCCCTTTTCCTGATTTTAAAAGTCCTTCCCCCCCGCCCTTTTTAGGCATTTGTAGTAACATTAGCAGAAAGATTTAATTTGAGCAACTTTGATTCTTAAAACAAAAAGCATGTGAATAAACATTGAAGTGTTCACCTCAGTTTGGGACCAAACTGCTTGGATCTTTGTAAAAATCGGTTTTGTATGTCGAGGAGTTCAGGGCCTTTCTGACCACCTTGTGTTACCCTTCTCTGCACAGCCATGTGTCTGTCGCACATGGTGTTACTCCTAACCACACACCATGTGTACACCCCTCCCTCCTCAATATTTCTGATTTCTTCTGGGCTGGGCTTCCCATTCTCCACCAGCAACTTCAGTATCCCAAACTTTCTAGTCCTGCTGATCCTGAGCTCAACAGGGGTGGAAACTGGATGGCAGTTTCTGGTCAGTTTTCTAAGAAACTTCTGAATTCTATTATCTTTACAAATATAAGATGAGAAAATAATTTTTTCAATATTTTTTATTAATCTTTTTATAAAATGAAAAGAAACTCCTATGATTGATTAAGGAAGGTGGTTATGGCTGGGTGGTTTTTGGGTTTTTCTTTTTTCCTTTTTTAACCTTAAGCTTTAAGTTGAAACATTCTCAGATGTTTGGGGGGAAAAACATCCTCTTAAAATTGGTCCTTGAGCTTGCCTTCTGGGGAGGCGGTCCTGAGCAGGTGAATCATAAGGCATTTATGCATATGTTATATGCGGACTGCACCCACTTCAGCTCCCCCCCCCCACCTATGCCTCTTGGGTTGTTGTGCTACTTCCCCTTACTTTGCTACATTTCTATAGTTAAGTTGGTTTTACTTGAATGATTCATGTTTAGGGGGGGAAATTAAAACACCCTTAAAATTTGTTTCAACTCCTCCTGCAAATAAAAAAAAATAAATGAAGTGGCAGATGTAAATGAACTCTGGTCATTGTCATCCCGAGTGTGTGTATGCATGTGTGGGTGGATATCTCCAGGGAACTTGAAAGACAAAAAGTCAGTGTGGGCAGTGCACAGACTGTTACTCAGCCCCACACTCAGTTGTTAACCTGGGAGGAGCCTGAGCCATCTCCACCAGCTAGTAACTCCTTATTCTTACCTGTTTTTTACTTTGAACACCCCAGGAGGACCAGTTACAGGAGTCGCTCAGCCTTCGGTGTGGATCCGACAAAAAGATTGCATGAAAGTTAAACTAGCCCACTTGGCCCTCCCTGGTGACCCGCCAAGTTAAAGCAAAGCACTACAAAGCTAGCCGCAGCTGCTTCAGTGCCAGTTGGGTCCCCAGCCAGGGAGGTGACCATGGTGTGGCAGGCCTGCTGCATCCCTCAGCAGTGTACTTCCATCAATCTGCCTGGTTTTGCCCCCCACTCTCAGTTGAGTCCCCGCCCCTGCATCTCTGGCCTGTACCAGTTCTGTATGCATAAATTCTTTTTAAAAAGTGAACTAGCCCACTGGGACTGGCTCTAGGTGGACTCCAACCTTAAGTAGTACCTTGCTAGCTCTGGGTTTGGCTCTGAACAGGAGGAACCTAAAAATCCTAAACTTCTTGCCTCCCCCCACCCCCCAAGAATCCCAGGGGTGCTTTCAGAAGCTAGGTTAGGTCTTTGTGGCATAAAGAAGGGGGATCTCGAGTTCCTTCAATTGGTACTAGCCCAGAGAGGGCTACACCTGCCAGGAAAAGCAGAAATTGGGAGTACCTTTCTATGTGCAGGGCAACCACACCCTTCACCCACGGCCCTCGCCTTAAAGCGGTTGGTGCCTGCTGCTGTCTCCCCGCACCCCCACCCCCCACACGCCCTGGTATGTGCCTCTCCCCACCTCTTACCCTGCAGCTAAAAGCTTCCCGGGTTTTAGGCCAGGGAAGGCTCTGTGCCGTTGGAGGGTGGGAGCCTCAGAGCTAAGATTGGAACTTACCTGACGAGATAGGGGAAAAAACACGTGGGATCTGTGACCCCAGCACCTGCCCGAGACCCTGGAGTAGTCGTCTTCACGACCGGCTAGAGGGACAAACCTGCTGAGCCGGGCCGCCCCCTCCAACACCCACTGCCAGCGCCTGGAGCCTGACCTATCGGCTCTTGTCTCCGCCTCCTTCGCTTAATCTCACATCTCGTCCCACCCCACCCCTGCCCAGTACTACTCCGCTGCCAGCGGGACGGCACTGTCCTGCCAGGCGGACTCTGGAGGGCGCCCCGGAAGCCATGGGTATGTGAAGGTTTGGGGTGGCCCCTCTGGGAAGCCGTGTGAAACGGCAACAAAAGCCGACATCCTCACCCCTTTCCCGTTTCTTCTACACGGAGTCCGGGACTACTTGGGTCCTTCTGAACCGCGCCCCCACCCTGCCCTCCGTCTGTAGAGGTGCTGGCCTTGTCCGGATACCGTGCGCAGAAGGAAGGCGAGCTGAGTCTGGCGCCCGGGGACGTGGTCCGGCAGGTGTGCAAGGGGCCCTTACGGGGCTGGCTGCGCGGAGAGCTGGGAGGCCACTGTGGCCTTTTCCCGGAGCGTCTGGTGCAGGTGAGGCTGGGCCGGGGGTCGTAGGGTGCGCCTTACCAGGGCTGAGAGCTCCACCCGCCCGTACTCTCATTCCCAGGAGATTCCAGAGAGTCTGCGCGGTGCGGGTGAGCCCCGGAGACCGCGCTGTGCGCGCCGCCAAGGTGAGCGCTGGGCTGGTAGGCGGGTGCGCTGAGCCAGTGGGACCCGGGACGATGCTTGAAGTGACGGGCGCGGCTCTGGGCGGGGTGTAAGCCGCTCTGCGGCCTTTGATTGGTTGTTGAGTACAATGCTCCGCCCCGGAGGCGGGGCCTGTAGGTACGATGGGCGCTCTTGCTTCGCCCCTCCCCCAGCACCGGGACTGGGGCACGGGGTTCAAGCTGTCTGACTCGCCCCAAACTAGGTCACCTTGCTAAATCTCGGGGCTCCCAAAGATGGTGCAAAGTGAACTTCAACTACAACCCGGAGCAGAAGGACGAGTTAAAGCTGCAAGCTGGGGAGATTGTGGAAGTGATAAAGGAGGTGAGGGAATGAACTGTTGAGAGGGTTTTAGGGAAGATGATGGCGTATGTGAGGGAGTGGGTGTAGTGGGGGTGTGGGCCGTGGGATTGGCGGGGCGGGGAGGAGTGAAACAGATGGGAAAGTGAGAGAGCAGGGGAGGGGTGTCATCGGGCAAAATAGGACAGAACCACGGATGTAAGGTTTCTAGAGAGACCCTTGGGACAGAACAAGATGCCCCTGCGTCCTACCCCTTCCCCAGATTGAGGACGGCTGGTGGCTGGGGAAGAAGAACGGGCAGCTGGGAGCCTTCCCATCCAACTTTGTGGAGTTGCTGGACAGTGGGGCCCCAAGTGAGACCTGGACCCTGTGACCCCGTGAACCCCTGTGACCAGACTCTGCAATCGCCAGTGACCTGAACCTGTGATCCATACATACCCCATGACCCTCTGACCTCTCCCATAATCCAAGATGTGAATTAAGACCACGTTTCTAATCTCACTGTCCCCCCACCAGGCCTTGACAATCCAGACATGCCTTCAATCAGCCCCGACCCCCAGCGACCTCCCAAGGTAATCTGGGTGGAGTGGGCAGAGGTGAGTTCTTCACAGGGCTTTGGGAAGCTCAGCTTATCTTTGTTTACCTGCCCCTACTAGCTGAGCAGCCTGACCTATGACAGCCCTCCAGACTATCTTCGGACAGGTGAGCACCCAGCCTAAAGGGTTCCTGGGAATTCCTTCTCCAAAGCCACTCTGACATAGGGGCTGGTGGGGCACTTGAGTTTATGGAGAAAGGAGCTGCTTTGTGATTTGGGGACCATGGTTTAACTAATCTTCCTTTAGTCTCCCACCCTGAGACCTACAGGGTCCTGTTCGACTACCAGCCCGAGGCCCCAGACGAGTTGGCACTACGGAGAGGAGATGTGGTGAAAGTCCTGAGGAAGGTGTGAGGGCACAGAGCAGGGGTGGGTGCATTGAAAGGCAGGAAAAGGCATGGTGAAAAGGGGTGGGTCCCGAAAGAAACTTGGGGACCTGGCTCACCTGTATACCACATCCTTCTCTCACAGACGACAGAGGATAAGGGCTGGTGGGAAGGTGAGTCTCAAGGCAGAAGAGGAGTTTTCCCAGACAACTTTGTGCTTCCACCACCCCCAGTGAGTACAGTCATTCAGGGGGGCTGAAGGGTGGACTCCTCTGGACAAAGATGGGGGTCATGTACTCATGATTGGCAGATTCTGCCAAAGTGAGAGTACGCCTAGAATTGTGAGCGCTCTTCAGATTCTGATACTTCTTTTTTGCATAGCTCAAGAAGCTGGCCCCTCGGAAAGTGGCATGTCGGAAATCTGGTAGGCCCATGGGAAGCCTGGACTTGTTGAGGGGTGGGGTACCCTCTGGGAGACCCAGTAGCCCAGTTGTCTATAAGCAGCTGCAGCTCCACTTAGGAGCCACCTCCCCATAGACTAATGGCCTGGTAGCAATGCATTGACATAAATGGGAATTTGTCAGTTTATGTGTTAATATAGTTATGTTTCTGTGTGTCTTGAAAATGTAGTTGTCAGTACATTGAGATTTATTTCGTTTTGTAAGATGAGTCTGTGAAATCCATCTGTGTGTGCGTTCACTTGTCTTATGTCAGTGGGAATGTGCGTCTTTTTATTTTTAATGTAATATTTCATATGTGCCAAAATATATGTCACATGTATGTTTTAAAACTTAATGAAACCTATGCACACCCATGGTCTGTCATCCAAACCCAAGAACTAGAACATTGTTGCTCCTCTTTGTCATTCTGCCACTTCCTTTATCCCAGAGAAGCAATTACCCTCACATGTCCTTGGACTTGTAGATATATCACTTCATTCTCTGCCTATATCTTCACATGGTCTTCAGCCCTGTGTGCCATGTTCAAATCTCCCTCTTCTGATAAGGACACCAGTTCTTGCAATGAAAACCTACCCTCATCCAGTATGACCATATCTTAATTTGTTTACCTCTATGAAGACTTACTCAGTTGTTCTTCAGGTGACTTCATCTTGTAGCTCAGTGGGGAAGAAACCTTCTATCTATGAAACTTGCACATATAGTATTCTGTCTTTTGCTGGCTCACTGGAGAAGAGTGTCTGTTAACAGTGTCTAGTTAAAACTCAGGCTGAAATTCTTTTTAGGCTGAAAAGGTTTAAAAGAAAAAGATTTATTTTTATTTATTTATGCATACAAGAACTGGGATACAGGCCATAGGTGTGGGGGGCTGAGAAGGCTCACCAGAGACAGAGTGGGGAGCAGAACAGGCCACTGAAATACATTGCTGGGTGGTGGGGGACACACACAGCAGAGGCCTGCTGTGCCATGTGGATCAGCTCCCTGGCAGGGGGTTGAATCCCTGCTGCAGTGACTTGCAGAAAGCTTTGTAGTGCTGAGACTTCACCCCTTGCACCAGCAAGGAGGCCCCCCAGGCTGAAATTCTTGAATCAGTTTTAGTGATTTATATGTTTTAACAGTATTCATTTAGCTGATGTTTTCTAATTGTGTAGGTTGTTCATACTATTCTCTTATAATCTTTTAAATTTTATCTGTTATCTATAATTGTACTCTTTCTCATTTTGAGTAATTTTCCCCCCTCTAGTTCAGAGTCACCAGAGTTTCGTTAATATATTTAAAGACTTTTTTAAAAAAAGATTTATTTATTTATGCATACAGAAATTGAGGTAAAGGTCAGAGGTGCAGGGGTGGTGAGAGGATTCACCAGAGACAAAGTGGGGAGCAGAACAGGCAGATCAACGAAGCACACTGCTGAGGGGAGCAGCAGGCGAGTCAGGAGAGGTCAGCCATGCCATGTGGTCACCTCCAGGGCAGGCAGGGATCGAACTCATGCAGAAGTAGCTTTAGCTTCTTAGTGCTGTGCTTTAACCTGCTGTGCCACCAGGGAGGGCCCTATTCAAAGACTTTTTAAAAAGCCTTTTCTATTGTATCTTTGTATTTTTTTTAATAGAGGAAAAAAATTTACAGTGTTAACCATCTTAAAGTATCCAGTACAGAAGTGTTAACTATATGCACATTGTTTGCAAAAGATCTCTAAAAGGCTTAACCTTTTTCTTTCACAAAATTTATTATTTCTGCTTTCCATTCTATCAGTGTTTGCTTCGTATATTTTGAGACTTCCTTGTGAGATACACGTTTATAATTATCTCTTCCTGGCGTATTTATCTGTGTATCATTATGATCTCTCCCTCTTTGTGTCTAGATTTTTCTTGTCTTCGATTTTGTTTTCTCTGATATTATTATAATCATACTCTGGCTATTTGTGTAGTATCTTTTTCTAGTCTTTTACTGTCAACCTATTTGCGTTTATTATATACTGTTTATTGTTAAATCTTGCTTTTCTTACTTTGACATTCTCTGCCTCTTTAATTGGGGTATTTAGACCTGGAGTTAATTATAGATTATGGGCCAAAGCTGGCCCACCATCCCTTTTTTATTTGAGACCGTATTTTGAGATATAATTCACATACCATAGAATTCACTCATGTGATATCACTGGTGTTTAGAGCCTTCATAGAGCTATGCAACATCACCATTATCAATATTAGAATATTTTCATCACCCGAGAAAGAAACCCTACATATATCTACATATATGGCCTTTATTCTATCATTCTCTCCTTACAGTCTTTGACAGAGTTGCCCTCATTTCATATACATATCATACAACATGATTTTTTGTAATGCGCTTTCCCTTTACATGTTTTCAGAGTTCATCCACTAAGTGTTGTATTCACTCTGTTTCATTGCCCAGTAATATTACCCTGTGTGACTGTACCACATTTTATCTTCTCTCTGCGCTGAGGGAACTGAACCCAGGACACCTGTTCTTTGTTGTAGGCCCCAGGCTCAATATCCACACTGAAGTACTTCTCACCAACTTCCTGGCCACCTTTTGTGGACCTCCCTTACAGTGCCTCAGCATTGTACCCTAAACAGGATAGAGTTACTCTCTAAGGGAGGGCCCTACAGAGCACCTCCTTAGCCATATGACAAGAAACAAAAATCAAAGCTAATGTTTATATGTCAGTTTCACGGTAGCCCCACCTCAGAGATATTGTAGGTTTGGTTTTTACACTGCTATAATAAAGCGAACATCTGAACATCGCAATAAAATGGGTCACAATGTTTTTGGGATTCTGATACATCTGAAAGTTATTTTTCCACTATACTTTAGTCTCTTGAAGCACACAGTGTACATACCTCAATTAAAGGTGGCACAAGGACATGAAATATGCACATTTGAAAAATGGCCCAAATAGGCTTGCTCCATGCAAGGTCTCCACATTCAATTTGCAAAAACCTCTAAAGTGGGCATAATGAGTCATGCCTGTGCATGCCAAACACCCCTCTGAGCACCTCATATGGATTAAGTCAATCAAGCCTCTTAACGCCCCTACAAAATGAGATTTTTTTTCCCCATATTTTACCAAGAAGGGTGTTGGGGGTCCAGAGAGCTTAGGTTACCTACCCAAGTTCTCACACAACTGGTGAGTAACGCAGCATAATTCTAGCCTGGTGTCTGGCCTGGTGTTCCATGCTGTTGCCCACTGGAACACGCTGCTGGGAGTTGTGTATCTCTGTGTGATAATGTGTGACTGAAGGCCAGCATATGTGCAGATGCTACAGTGTTCATTGTCCATGGATATGTCACTGCATGACTATTCACTTTGACGTTACATCCTCAGTGTGGCTCTCTGACACCCCACTTACAATCGTACACTCCTTGCATACATTGGTACTTCCTCAGTAACACTGAAGAACTCTAACACGTTACATGTCCTGCTTCTTTTGTTTTTATGTCTGCTTCCCCAAAAGAGCGAGACCTCACTCTGGCTGCTATGGGAAGAACGTACCATAGGCAGGGTGAGTGGGACCAAAGCCAGGGTGAGGGCTGTTTGCAGCAGTCTGGGGGAGGACCTAACGTGCTTTGTGGTGGAGATTTGTGCAAGGGGCTGGATGCAGGACTTTTTTTTTTTTTAGATTTATTTATTTGTGCATACAGAACTGGGGTACAGGCCAGAGGCTCAGGGGTGGCGAGAGGCTTCACCAGAGACAGAGCGGGGAACAGAACAGGCAGATCGACAAAGTACACTGCTGAGGGGAGCAGCGGGCGGGTCAGGAGAGGTCTGCTGCACCACGTGGTCACCTCCATGGCAGGCGGGGATCGAACTCATGTGGAAGTGGCTTTAGATCTCAGTGCTGTGCTTTAACCCGCGGCACCAACAGGGAGGGCCTGCATTTGCTGATGGTTTGGAAGTGGGGCCTCAGGGAGTCCAAAGGGGTCAAGGATGACGCCTCCTTTTGACATCTCAGCAAGTGAGTGAGTGGGTGAGACAGAAAACTGGAAGAGGGGTAGACTTAGGAGTACAGGGCATGGGAAGTGGGAGATGAGTGTTGCAGATGTTAAGTGTGTTGATGCCAGTTAGCTCTCCATGTGGGGCTACTGCGGGACGGCACTCAGATATGAGCTGGAGTTTAGGGAATTGTGATTCATTGCTAATTCAACTCATAAGACAGGTGGGGTCGCTAAGGGAGCACATAAGATAGAGAAGACAGACATTCAAAGGAGGGTGGAATGGAAGGGGAAGGTCATTGCTGTGTAAACAGGAAGCAGCCATGGGCACAGGCAGGACTTAGAGAGGTGTAGATAAAAACTGGCAGCTGAGGCATCATCTCCCACAGAAGCCTGGTAAGGGCTATGTGTCTCTTCTGGGTGACACTTGAGGTGTCCTTGTCCCCATGGGGCCTCAGATTGGTCTCTGTGATTCATCTTCTGTCCCTGGCCCCTGCGCACAGCATGAGACAGGTAGCAGCTGTTTGATGGACAGATGGGGAGTGAACGGGTATCATGCCCCTCTTTTTTCTCCCAGCTCCTATTAAGGAACCAAAACCAAGAAAGATGGTGCCCAAAACAACCCCCTCCACAGTCAAGAAGCTGGTTACAGTCCCCACTGAGCCCAGCAAAGCCAAGTAAGGAGTGGGGTGGGGGAAGGAAGAGGGTACAAAGGAAACGCTGCTTCCTGCCCCCACCCCTGGGTCTGATGGGGATGTGTTCCAGGCCATTGGGCACACCCAGTGGAGATGGTCAGAAGCGTCCCTCCCGGGACCCTGGTAAGTACTGCTGCCTCCCTCGGTGGAGTAAGGATGGGGGCACAGGGACAGGGCGGTTGTGGGGAAGGACAGAGATGGGAGAGAGACCGGGGGCCCCAGCAGGCCTGGGTCCCTGAGAGTCTGCTCTCCTAGGCTCCAGTGGCAGCTTCCTCAGTGGGAGTCCAGGTCACCCTGGAAGAAAGCGACCCAAAACTCAGGTTTCCAGGCAGTGCTCTGTATCCGGTCAGGTGAGAGGCCCCAACACTCAAGACAGGAGAGGAGAGTGTTGGGCAGAGTCTGGTTTGCCCAGCAAGGGTGAAGGCGTGGACGGCAGGCCAAGGGGGAACCAGACTCAGAATGTCCTTGTACCCAGTCCTCAGTTGAAATCTCCCCGATCACTGCAGGAAGAAGAGCAGAACAGCCTTTCAAAGGCTCCTCCTGCAAATAAAACCCCCACTCTGGGTGATACCCCCATTTCTAAGAAGACTCCACCACCAGGAAAGACCTCCACCCTAGAGGAAACCCTGATACCAGATAAGGTTCCTACCCCAGAGGAGACCCCAACCTTGGAGGAAAAAGCCCCTGCCCCAGAGAACCCCATCCCAGAGGAGACCCAGAATCTGGAGGACAAGACTGTCACTCCTGAGGAGACCCCATCTCTGGAGGACGAGGGCCCTGCCCCGGTGGAGACCCTGACTCTGGAGGCCAAGGCTCCCACTCTAAAGTGGGTCTTCTCTGTGGTGGAAGGCCCTGCCCCAGAAATGCCTCCTAAAGATGATGCCCTTGACCCTAAGGTGGTCCCAGCTGGGGATGAGGCCCTCACCCTAGAGGAGGTCTTGACCCCAGAGCAGGTGCTCCCTGAAAAGGTCTCCACCCAAGACAGCACTCAGTTGCATCACTTCACTCCAGAGGAAACCCTGGGGAAAGTCAAGCCTCTTGTAGCCAGTAAGATGCAACCTCAAGAGGAGGTACACATGCCAGAGGACCCCCCCCTTTCCATGATGGAGCACCCCCTGAAAAAGAGGGACAACTCCCCTCTTCACTGTGAATCCAAGGTCAAGCCCCCGTCCATACCTGCCCATGGGAAAGCCCAAACCCAGAAAGAGGCTCCAGCCCTCCTGGAGGATGCACCTTGGAAGGATGAAGCTAACCTGCAACAGGCGGTACCCCCCAAAGAGGGGGTGTCCCACAAAAAGATAACCCCGGCTCAGAAGAATCCACAACCTATCAAACTGACTCCAGACTCCCAAGGAGCTCACACCTTCCATTCCTTGGTCCCCCAAACTCCCGCCGACAGAAGTGACAGAGAAGAAATAATAATGCTTAAGGCCGAGGTGGAGTCTTTAAGGATGTCACTGGAGCAGATGGGGGTGCAGCTGGAGTAAGTGGGGAGGGAGAGAGGGTTTGGAAAGGAGGGGGAGACCCCTTAGATCTTCCTGCCTCACCACCCCTTTGGTCTTGTCTGCAGAAGTAAGCTGAACAGTATCTGGGAGGAGCTGAAGAGCGAGAGGGAGAAGCGCCAGTGGCTGGAGGTGGGTGGGGTGCAGGTCTTGGGGTGGGAGCTGGTGGCTGGCCCTACCCTGATACCCTCTCCCGACTAGGTTCAACTGAAGCAGGTTCAGGAGCTGAAGACCCAGGAGGCCCAAACCAAGGGCTCCATCCACTCACAGACGTACTGAGGGCAGGCCCGAGAGGGATACTGTGGGGCCTGAGGGGAGTTCCGGCTCGGGCCACCCATGTTCTTGCATACGACTGGGAAACTAAAGTAAACTGTGGTGTACGCATGCGCACAGCGCCTGCCTGGTTCATGTGGAGGCAGGGCCAGACCGGGGCTCCCAGCTCTCCACATTCCTAGCGGTCACCCCCTCCCCGGCACATCTGGCCAACATGTGGCTCCCATTACTGTTCCCAAGGCCTGAGCACAGCTATTTTTATCCACCGGATGGGGGGGGGTGTGTGTGGGAGGAGGCAGTGTCTCCTTCAGATGCCAGTCCCTCTGGAGAAATGAGTGGTGGCAGGGCCCTGGGGGCTTTACCGAGGTTGCTTCTGATTTCAGACTCCAGCTGTGCACTGGGGAGGGTCGTCTGGGACCCCTCCAGGTTCTGTCCCCTCTCTCTGCCTGGCGCTCACAGGAATGCAGACGCACTTGGGCCACTAGGCCTAGTGGCGTCCTGCGTCAAGCTGGGGTCCGAAGCCTGGTGTGTGACTGCATGACTTGTGGCCCAGGGCATCTGTAGGGACAAGGGTGCCGTGTGCCCAGGTGTTCTGACAGAAAGGAAAGTGTGTGTAAGCCTGCACGTGAGACTATGCTCTGAGAGAATGAGGTGCTGGGGCTGGGTGTGGGGTTGAGTTTTGCCCTCTGTGAACACAAGCACCAAGCATGTGTCCTGAGAAGTCAGGCGAGAGGCCGGAGGTGGTCATCCTGGTTAAGGAGTGTGGGGGGAGTCTCAGCCCAAGGGTCTCCTACATGACTGGTCTTTGGGGCAGAGTTAACAGAGGGAAACCGAGTCGCTGTGAATGTAGCTTTCATTGGTCACTTCACCTCTTAAACATCCCCAGGAGAGAGGATGGGCCCTTGCTTCTTCCCTCCCCCTCCCCAGGGCTTTCTGGCAGGAATGGGGGAAGGGTGCCTCCCAGGGGGTGGAGATCCAAGCCCAACAGCACTGGGGGGAGCCATGGGAGTGGGGCCTCCATAGATAGCACCGTCCAGGGGGTAGTAGAAAGGTCCTCGGGCAGCTCTGAGCTCAAGTGCATGTCCAGTACCCGGAGCATATGGCAGTGGGCGTGGGTGCCAGTCAGTAATAGTGCATGCGGCCCAGGGTGCCTGTGGCAGAAGGGCTGGGCCCAAGGGTGCCTGTGCCCAGCAGATCAGGCTGCCCAGTGCGCCAGATCTCCCGCAGGATCCGTTCCCGCTCCTCCAGCCGCTGTGCCCGCTCCAGCTCCTCCGCAGAAGTGAAGACGTTGACGCTCAAAGGACCGTCGGGTTCCGTCGACGCCAGCTCTGGGCTCTGCAGCATGTCTTCGGGGCCCAGCCGTGTCACTGTGTCCTCCTCCTCCTCGTCATCATCCTCCTCCTCCTCAGGCTCCAGCGTGCTGCTGCGGGGGTCCCTGCGAGAGGCAGGCCCCCGGGGCCGCGGGTGGGGCGCACAGGAGATGGTGATGACCAGCAGGCACAGGGTTAGAAGCAGGCCAAAGCAGACGCCCAGCACGAAGTAGAGGCCAAAACTCTCGGGGTTCGCTGGGGGTCAGAGGGCAGAAGTTAGGGATCCTGGCGGGTGGGAGGTAGTCCGTTTTGAAGACTCCCAAGTCCTAAGTCTGGGGGCAAGGGACAGTGCTCTTGTTTGAAGGACACTTAGGTAGCCACCATCTGGCAATAAAGGACCTTGAGGATGGAGGAAATGGGGGGTAGGTGGCTGGCTGGAGGGGGGAAGCTATAAAGGCAACGGCTGGGAAGGGGAAGGGGTGGGGGGGGCCTGAGGAATCCATGCCAGTGGGGCCACCCTCACCACGGATGTGTGCGTAGGCCGCCAAGCTGTTGCTGAGCAATTCCATGTCTCTTCGGGGGGCATCCATGCTGCTGGAGTGTGGGGGCAGCGCCCCCGGTCTTCGAGGTCTGTTAGGACGGGTCCTAATCCGCAGCCAGGCGCGGACGCTGACCCCTCCACCTCCTCCTGGGGCAGTGCCTCGGCCTGGAAGAGCAACCCCAGGGTCCACCCTGGAGACAGGCTCCTAGCTTCGTCGTAGAGCTTGGCCAGTCTGGGGAACTTTCCCACGGGCACAGACGCCCTTCCAACCTGGGGGCAGGGGAGAGAGGCTCCCCTTCCCTCCCAGTGGGATTCCCGAGTGGGGCCGGGCTGGCCGCCCGGGCGCGGGATGGAGGGGCGTCGCGAGCGCCCTCGCCGC